TGTATATATATATATATATATATATATATATATATATATAAAAAACATCACTGACGTCAATAAATGTTTCTCCTTTTAACCTCTTTGCTGCCTATGTGAAACAATTAAGCTATTATAGATTATTTATGTATTATAATTATTGTTATTATTATTATTATTATTTAATTTCCTATGGGTATTTAAATTAGGAAAAACAAATGTGATTAACAACAATAATGACAAAGAGATAAAAGCAACATCGGAATGTTTTATTGATTCATGTTAATTTTTATTTTTTTTAGAAAACAAAACAACCAATAAATACAAAGATAAAAAGCAACTTTATGGCGAGTGCCTCACCGTATTCCAATAGTAGCATTTCTTTTTCTTTTATATAGTTGCGTACATCTTTTTTTTTGTTTGTTTTACTGCACTCAATGACAGCGGGCAGCAGCACCCAAAGCAGACGGGTCACAATGGATTGCAATGAAACATGAAACAGGCATGCAGATCCATGAGTGATCCTCTTCACGACCCCACACACACAAACTCATACAAAAATGTGTTGGCACATTAAAGACAACATCTAGAAACATTTTTGTTTGTTTGTTTTGCAAAATATATATTATATATACACACAAAGAAAACAAGAAAGAAACCCAGAAACCCTCTTTGTGTCTATTCTTTTGACTGTCAAAATATTGACACTTTTGAGTGTCACTTTCAGATTTAAAGGTGAAGTGTGCCATTTTTGCACCTCTAGCATCACCAAACATTTGCAAGAAAAATTCACCATTTTCAAACAACAGTCCTGAACTGGTCATTGGTCAGCCAAAAACGTAGTCCCGCCCCAAACTCACACCATTGGTTGAGTCAATGTTTTGATAGCGCCACAGTGTTACGCTTTTGATGAGAATCAGTGGCTCACTTATGGTCTCTGCACATTAAGCTGGGAAAGGAGATTAATGTAAAAAAAATGATACACATCACCTTTAAGTAATTCAATGAAAAGAAAAGCTCCATCACATCCTTACAGTCAAGGAATGCTTTCCAGTAAAATCAGGTGCATCAGCACAGTAGATCGCCCCAATGTACAGAGTTTAACAATACACGTGATGTACAAACACAATATCACCCATGTCATCACATGGTTTCGTTAAAATCCTGCATGTTTTCCTCCTGCTTGGTGTATAAAGCAGAGAGCCAGTCATGTGATCAAAGACGACGTATGTCATAATCTCAAAGCTGTTGAAATCTCATCGATTCCCTCATGGGTTTGGCAGGAATATCTGGCACAGGAGGTCGAAAACGTCAAAACAGAAAGTGCACGGAGGACAATAGAGGTTGAAGGTTAGAGAAATGTGCCGAGTCTTGCATTCCCACTCTTGATGTAGATGTGCATTCTCACTGGAGGAAAGAAAGGCTCATTCATATGGGCTGGACTGGCCCAAACCGAAGGAAACAGAGTAGGCGAGGTGAAGAGGTTGAAGCCGGTGTTGTTCGGGTCTCGAGCTCTTGTGTTATCTGACCTCCAGGCAGTCCAGGTACTCCAGAGCCAGCTCATAGCAGAACATGTACTGCTCCTGCCAACAACAGCAAGGTCACGTCAGTTTCTCTGGCAACATTCAGCACTGGCAGAGATTTACATTTGAAGGAAATGCGAGTCATATTGGCCTGCGGATCGTTCATCTGATAATAAAAATCGGATTACGTAATTAAATATTATACAAATTCTCAATGTCTGTCTCAGATCCATACTCACAACAGATACAGAACAGGAGAGACTGAGGAAACAAAGGCACTATTTACATAAATGACAAAAGTTCATGCTGATGAGTTCAGGTTTATGCATCATTATTCATAATTGCACGCATCCATTTGAGCAGCATATGTGTATGTGGGGATATTTGGAGAATATATTTAGAAAAGTAATTCTAAATTAGAAATTTAGAAATTCACTCAGAAATTGCCAGTAAATTTCACAAATACATACAAAGAAATGACAAGTAACAGATTGAATTAAATGTTAAAATGTGAAACTTTGAAGTAGAAAGACTGAGTAGAAATATATTTTTTGTATTGGTTCATAACAATGTTTATGTTAGTTTGCTTTAGACATGATATTATCCTCTTTTTTTTTTTTTTTTTTATAAATCATGTATAGTAACAACTTATTATTCATAATTCAATAATAAAAACAGTGTCAATATTTGCCTGTAGTACAATTTGTCTCTCCAGTTCATTTACGTCTCTTCGTCATATTTTTAAAAATAATTATGAATCGTAATACCAAATAATCAAATCATTTTGGATAAAATCATTTCCCAATTTTAAATTTCACTATGCATCTTACAGGTAAAGGTTGTAAAGATTATAAACAAATCATTGTCAGAACAAAAATGTAGTAATATTTGGCCTTTAGTCAATGGGATTGTTTTGCCAATTTTATCATCTGTTGCAAAATCAAGTAAAAGCACCACAAATGATTTGCCACAATTTGTACACCAAAGTGTGATATATATATATTGGTTAGGGGTTTAGTCTGTATGTAGGGGCAATAGCAGGTCGTAACCATTATAGACATTGAGGAAGACAAGTCCCGTTCAATAATTAGACATGGTCAAACTGACCCCCCAAAAGTTTAATTTTTTTGTCTGCTCTGCCTCAGGGGTCTAACAGCGCTCGTCAATGTCAAAATGTTTGAGATAACCAATCAAATTCAAGTAGGTGGGGTTTACTGTTCACAGAAGCAGAGCACGAATTCCAGCATGAAGCGTCGAAAGCGAGCGAGGTAGAAGTAGCTAAACATTTAATATTTGACAACTGTTTTATGATAGAAATGTTAAACGACTGACGGTAATATCGTCATAGTAGTAATGCAAACTACTTTCACAGAAAACTTTCGCAAATTTCGCCATTTTATACAGAGCCCGGCACATGACATGCAAGAAAAAAATTAATAAATAAATCGTGGGTACTTTTTAATCGTGGGCGGATTATTATATCGAGCGCACCATTTACTTAAAATGAGGGAACAGATTATTAAACCGTGCGCATGATCTAGTAAATCGAGGGAACGAATTAATAAATCGTGCCCACGATTTTTTTTTCTTCCATGTCATACGCGGGCTCCGTAGCTTTAAACCCAGCGGGCACCTTGACATCAATTTGACGTCAAATATTAGTCAAGACTTGATCAATGTGATTTTAAATTAAGTTTTGATAGCAATTTCTTCCAGTGGTGATTGGGCGAAAATAGGAAATGAATCCCACACTGAAACTGGTTTAATGTTTATGTAGGCCAATATGTTTGACGCTCAATTTACATCAAATTAACATCATGTCAAGTTTTTGACCTTACTTTGATTTGGATATTTGACTTGGTTTTTTTTAGTCGTTTTTTGACATAAAACTGACGTCTTTTCAACATCAATTGCTCACTGGGAAGTGAATGTGACGAGACATTAAATGTTTTGCCTTTTCGCCATATTGGGCATACAAATACATTTAAAATATTATTTGCAAATAGTTCAAAATGTTTACTTCCCAACTGGAATTAGAACTAGAATTTTCTTCACTGTTTATATATATAATTGGCAATACGACTAAATAAAAGCTTGCTGATTTTAAGTTTGAAAAATATGAAAATTCATATAAATATCATCCTTTTATTTTTAAGTTTGCTATAAAATAATTGTATTTTTATTTAACACTCCCTTTTTATTTTAAATTATAATAGCATCATCACACTTTATAATTTCGTTTATTATTTTATTAAAAAAATAAATAAAGTGCAATAATATTATTATCACTATTATTTTTTTTTATAGTTATATTTAATGGGTCACAAGCAAACACTACTAATTAGTTCTTGACATAAGTAAGCACACTAACCATAGACTCCACCATGTTGGGCTTGGAGTTGCGGAGAGTCTTGACAGCGTAGAACACGTCCACCATGTTGTGATGGTGCACCATCTCCATTATCATGGTGCAAGCGCAGAAAGTGCCACTGCGTCCGCCGCCATTCCTTAAAGACAACAATATGTCAACCCATTAGCATCTTCAAGAAAAGCAGCATCTTGTAACACATGAAGGAGCGGGATCTGAGCAGCACACTTTCAAAGCTTGTGTGGATTATTGTATTAGAGATGTCTGGAGGGGATAGCTGTGAAAGAGGCATATTTGTGCCACCACAGGCTGCCAGACATCTGCAATACTTTTGAGCATGAAGGAATGGAAAGTGCCAGTGCGCTCTGGGGAAAAGACATGCAATAAAAATGTCACATTCTACTGAGTTAAGATAATTTCCCCTGGGCTACTGATAGAGGAAGGGCACCCCAGCATAGATGCTTTGAAGCCCGATACGCTGCATCTGTACCACGCTCTCATTAATAAAGGATAGACATATTAAACCACAGGCAAGTGCAGGTGGCAGGTACGAATCCCAAGGCCAGAGCACTAAGAAGTCAAATACTGAGGAAAATGAAGACATGAAAAAGCTGCCGGAGATTAAGAGCTTTAAGCAGATTTTCACAGTTGGGTGGCCACGGCAATTTCTGGAGTACAGGATCAAAAGTGACCTGGATTGTACAATCAACACAATGAAGTGTAATTGCTCTCCAGTTAGTATTTGGAAGCGGAGCCGTGTGAAACTTACAGGCAGTGCACTACAGTGCGACCGTCGCCGCACTCCCTCAGCCACTTCTGCACTTGTGCCAGCAGGTTGAGAAAGGCCTTCTTAGAGTCTGGGATTTCACGATAAGCCGACCAGCGCAAGAACTGGAAATGTCGCACTACCAGATGACCTTCCTGCAGCTGAATGATAAAGACAGAGAGAAAACATTAATAAAAGATTAAAAAAAAGGTATGAAATGATTAATTTAAGTAAATACATAATATGTAAGTACATAAGTAGTTAAGGACACTTAATATAAAGTGAGTCCCTAATAGGTTTTGATGTTTGCACATTAAGAACGCCATATGTACGGCTTTACTAACATAGTAAACTTGCTTGGTAGCTCACCTGGTAGAGCATTGCAATTGGGTACACACACAACGCACATTTCATTTTATAATTTACAGATTCACTTTTATCTGTTTTGGATAAAACTGAACACACTTTTAGCAGCATTTCACTTCGGAAGTGTCACAGAGCGTGCAAGAAGTACTGTAATATAATTTCACAGAAATGTCACCACATGCATGGTTTTCCATTGAGCATAGATTCAACCTGAAGCTGAAGCATGTCCTTTCACTAAATGTTTCATGCTCTGCTTTGCATCCTATTCATGGAATATTCACTGTACTTCAAACACTCATTTCAAAAACAGCACACGATATTCAGCTCATCTGCAAGTCATCGACTGGATCCTCTGAGCATTAATTAGCATCTAAATTACTCTGTAACAAATCGTAAAAGCATTTTTCTGTCATGGGGCTGTCTATTTTTCTTTACCTAGGGATGGCGCTATTTAGCAACATGATCTATCAATAACACTCTACACCTTGTACCTTTTTGGGGAAGCGAGACTCATCGTTCCAACACGGGTGGCTCTGTCTGGGGTCCTGTGAAGAGGCAGTACGGGACATTTTCTGACAATGACATGGAGTGTTTACCCGGCTTGCAGAGTCTCAGAGAGACAGAGGGGACATAGGGACTGACAGGGGGCTAGCCAAACTGACACAGGCACGGACGGGAATGTGGCTAAAGGTTGACAGCCTGCCTGACAGGAGTGCTAAAGGGGGCTAGCAATGAGAGGTGCAACACTTGGGACAAGATTTCAAAGAGACAGGATGTTGACAATGAAGCCATCAGGGAGGACTAAGGTCAGCTAGAGGTGCGAGAAAGTGCCTTTTTATTCAGACAAGTCAATATCAGAAGCACAGACCACACTGAGAGATACTGACACCATACGTACAACTCTATCTCTCTCACACATGCACGTAAAGTGTGAAATAAGCAGGTCTAATTCCAGCAGTGCAGTGCCTCCAGTGCTAGTTTGTGAAATTGAGACTTTTAATGACTGACCACACTTTTATACCTTTGCTTTAATTTAATCGGTATTGAATTCAATTTCTAAAGGACTCTGAAAAGATAATTTAGCCATTAGCTTCAGTTAATTAACCTTTCCCGGCGTGGCCCTGAACTCAGAGAATCTCCAGTTTTTAAAAAAAAGATGGACGTGGAAGATGGGTCATTTGTCTAATGAGGTCTGATTTTAATGAGGTACTGTAATAAATGTCAGTGCTAACACTGGGAGAGAATGGCTCGTGATTGGAAGGCATGTACAGGGGATAACATATATCAGAAGATGGCTTATTTGGCCCTATAGACTCACGCGTGTGATGTTGGTCACTCTGAATAGGCGAGTGACGACGTTGTCATCAGTGGATCTGGAGAGCAGCTCGACTGTCATAGGTCCAAACTGCTGCATGCCTGTTTCAGGCCAGTACTGCAGACAAGGCTGACAGAGAGAAGGACACAATTACAGATGCAAATTGCTATTTTAATACACTCCTGTACAAAGTATAGATCAAATGTGTTGTTTAATGAAGGGGCAGCGACCATCAGTGACAAATAAAGTAGGGTTGGGTATCGTTTGAATTTTATCGATTCCGATTCCGATTCTGCTTATCGATTCCGATTACTAATTCCGATTCCAATAAGATAAAAAAATCCATTAAACACATTTTAAGTCAAATATGTAGATGTCAAACATATTTATTCTGTTTTATGTCTATGGTTTTGGTCGATAAATGTGAAAGAGAAGTCAGTTCTGGCCCGGAACAAGCTTTGTGGAAATGCACGGAACAGTTCGAGAATGGAAATTTGGAACCGGTTCTCGATACCCAACCCTACAAATAAGGATTAAATAATGCCCATGACAAAAAAAAAAATTAAATCTAGTTTGAAACACCAGTGTCAAGAAATGTTGTTAGAAATGTAAATTTTTTTTTTTTCAATTTTGAAATTCATGTTAGTTTTCATTTTGTTTGTATATCGGGTAGAACCACCCGATGCGAAGCGGAAACGGTTGCCTCCGCAAAGTGCATTATCCCGCTTATTCCATGGTCATTTGCCAGCATTGACAACTTAAAACCTGTTTATGATGTGTGCAGTGCAATAATTAAAGGGGTCATATGATGCGATTTCAATTTTTCCTTTCTCCATAATTATGTCCCCACTGGATGCAATGAATGCCTCGTTTATAATGTTAATAAATATTTGAATGAATTATCGATCGAGAGAGATGACAGTTGTGTGTGAATTACCTGCATCTGCGCGTCTCTCTCAAACAATGAAGCTGTTTAGTTACTTCAAAAACAGCGATTTTACCCCCTCCTTGCTGAGAAATATAATGTAGCGATCTAGTATCTATGCTATTTTATTAATAAAAGTCGCAATAAGTTTCTGTGTGTGCGCAGCCAGATCTGCAATCTCCGACCTCTCCCTCTCTGTGCATCAATTAAAGCAGCGCATTAATACAGAACGGTAATTAAGCTGACTTGGAACTACCTATGCATTAAATGGCTTTAATGCATACCTGCCACCCAATCAGAATCGAGTATTCAGACAGACCATGGTATAAATAATACCATTATATCTTTGAATTATACCATTTCATATTGACAACATTATCAAATATTAGCCGGTAACACTTTACAATTAAGGTCCCATTTGTTAACATTCATGAATTTAATCCACCGTAATTTAAGGTAGTTAACACATTAACTAACATATAATAACAATGAGAAATACATGTGTTAGAGTATTTATTAATCTTTAACATAAATTCATAAAAATTAAACTGTTCATTGTTTGTTCATGTTAGTTCAGGTATATTAAATAACATTAGCAGATTTATTTATTTATTCATTTATTTTAATAATGTTTTAGTTAATGATGAAATTAACAAATACAGTATTTTTCATTGTAAGTTCACATTAACTACTGTAGTTATCTAATGTCAACTAATGTAACATTATTGTAAAGTGTAAATTTGAACCTATTTCTTAATAATATTTTAAACAGCTTTATATATATATATATATATATATACAGCAGAAAATGGGCATCTTGCGATTAGGCGAAGGGTGAAGATAGACAGTGAAAGGATAATAGAGTCAAGGAAACGCCAGAGATAGGCTAATCAGCACTGAAAATCTAATTGCGGCCCACCAAGATAAGTAATACTTGCTCATTTCTCCATATCGGCTGCATTTTCTAGTCCAATCCCCCACCAGATTACCATTTGCTCAATGTGTCAATTAATTTTCGCTCACTCTGGTTGCAAACAGATCTAATCCAGCACAGTGTTATTTGAAACGAGCAGGCGTGAAACAGCTTCAGCAATGTATTTCCAATGAGAGATAGAGAGATGCTGATATAGATGAGATAGAAATTGATAAATCCTTGTCACAGTGATGCGTATTAACAGAGTGACATGGTGCAGAAGAATATTAATCCGAACACACTCAGACAGATCAGAAAAGAGTGACTGTAGCAGAAAGAGAACAGAGAGATATTTCTAGAAGGTTAGATGACTAACTGAGTGTGATAATGTCTGGAAAAACACTCACACACATCAGATGGAAGACAGGAAGCAAAAATAACTATTAAATAATGTTGTGCAGATCGCCTCACTCATGCAAAAGCATGCACGCACGCACACACACACACACACACACACACACACACACACACACACACAAACACACACACACACACACACACACACACACACACACACACACACAAACACACACAAACACACACACACACACACACACTGATTTTATTATCAGTTGAGTCTTAAAGATGACACACTCTGATTTTGCGTTCAGTGGAATAATGCGCACCAGAGATGCTTTATCATGGAGAACGGGTCACAATGCCTACAAGGGGAGAGGAGTGAAAATCATGGGTAAGTTGGTATCTTGGTGAGTTTGTCCTTTCCATTGCCAATTTAGACAAGACAAACACATTATCAATGTGGGGAGTCTCAAATGAAAAGCACGTTGTGTGTTTGCTGTTCACCCAGAGTGAGAATTATGGGCTCTGTGGGGGGTTATTTTCACACCACAGTCGTCGAAAACATTACAAATCACTATAAATCTCACAGTTTTAATTTTAACCTGGACAACTTTCATATGTGGAAACAAATTTTGTGAAAAAAATCAGATGAAAAAGACTTTATCGACGTTCTGTCGCTTGGAATATCGTTTCCATAAATATACGAAAGAGCAACTGTACATATGTATTTCGAAGAAAATGTGAAGATTTGCTTATAAATATGCAGATGTTTATTTTGACTGCTGCTACTGCTGAGATGTATAGTTTTGTATATGTACATTTTAAGTGCTGCGATTGCTGAGATGTATAGTTTTGTGATGTGATAAGTGAAATTGTATTCTTGTTCGTTTTTATTTATTTGTAAGACTGTTTGTCTTGGATTGATTTGTGGACCCCAAGACTAGCAACCACTTTGTGGAAGCTAATGGGGATCCAAATAAACAATAAACAATTTATGCTTGCATGTGTCATACATGAACATTAATACGCTGAATAGAGAATGAAATCTGAGAGCAGCCACACAGAGGAAGATCTGCAGTCAAGAGCAACTTGCTACTTGCTTCTGCCAATACATCCACAGACATGCTGCTGTGAGCATGTAAGAAATACTGCTGCTGCACATATAACATATATGAAACAACCCCCATAAAAAACATACATGAAATTACCCCGTAGATCTATACAGGTGGAGCTGGGAAGGGGAAGGGTTTCTGAAACGTGCTGTAACTGCTACAGGAAGCACTAGCCGAGTATTTGAATAGTGAGCAGCGAGCTCATTGGCTGCTGATGCGAAAAGAAACCAATCAGCTGCGCCATGCGGATAATGATGTGATTATATCAGATTGAGTTAGAACCTTTCAACCTGCGCTACCTAGAGTTTCATGACAGGACTTTGTATTTATGCTGCACACTGAAATTTTTTTTTTAATGAGTATCTTTTTGTTTTTCAGTTAGAATATTTAAAAATCCTTAAAATAAGATTATATATTACATCTGCAGAAAGTAAGTGTATTTAGATTTTTTTTAAACTTATTTTTAATATAAATATGTAAAACAAGTGAACACAAATTTGCCAGTGCAGAAAGACAAATTACATTCTTATTAAAGATACATTAAAAACAAGTCTCATTCAGTGCTGCTCCAGTAAATTGATAATAAATAAATGAATGAATAAATAACATTAATGTGGTGGAAAATCATTAATATTATTTTTAGTATTTTCTGTTGTTTTTAATTATTTTTTGTTACTGTACATTCATATTATTTTTTACCCACATCCATGGCCTTTATTGCATGCTTTTTAAAAAAAATCTAATTGAACCATGATGAATAAAATAAAGTCACATTATCTACTAAATAATTTCTAGCTGAATATTTTGTCTTATTATTTTGATCCCCCCCCCC